GATTAATTTTACCTATATGTAGAAAATGTTACATTTACATCGCATCATGGATCAGGCAGCAGCATCTGATCAATATTTGATCCATGATGTGATGTAAATATAACATTTTCTATATATTGATAAAATTAATCACTGAAATAAAATAACTGTTTTTGTCACTTTTACTGTGGATTGCATCATCTCTGTTACATACAGAAGAGAAACCTGACTGAAGTGAAACATAAATTTATGGATCTGTGTTTGATTACTCTGCCTGGCTTTCTCAAGGACCAGGATGTGACACAAAAATCTGAATTATGGAACTGAAAGTGAAAGTAGTCAAACTGAATTTTTAATAAACCAAAATACAGTTTCAAAGCAAATTAATTCATATTCAAAACTTGAAATTCAGTTTCAGTTTAGTGAAATTAATTTTCAAACCAATGCGTTCAATTTCAAATTATGAACCTTCAGATTCAATCTGAGAAATTCAAATATAATTTCTGCTGACACAAGATTTATCCTATAGTTTTGGGGCATCTCTTTGCTGAGGAGAGATGGTGGAGGATGGTGCTGAGGCCTTTATTTTATATTGTTTAAGCAAGTATTTGAAATAATTTGGACTCTCCTTCAGGGGAGGACACCCGTAYCTGACGGGTCTGGCGGTAGCAGGCGGAGCGTACTATCTGGGTCTGGAGGGGGCGATTATTGGACCCATCCTGCTCTGCATCCTGGTGGTGGCAGCTAACATCTACAGCGCCATGCTGATGAGCCCCAGCTCAGCGCTGCCCACACCTGTGCAGCCAAACTGGCCGGTCCACCCCATGAGGTACAGACCAACCTGATTTATACAGTGGGTCAAATGAGGAAACCAGTGTTGCATCGTTCCCTTCTTGTGATTCTCAGGGCTTTCGCAGACTCCACCCCCTCAGTCCTGAAGAAGTCCCCCGAATCAAAGTGAGGGGGTGTGTCTCTGTGGAACACCAGCTGGCTTCCTATTGGCTGATTCTTTGGGGGAACTCCCGCCCCTCCCTCGGAGCTCCTGGCAGGCTCGCCGAGGTCGACCCGGACCAAGAAGTGATGGCGAGGTGACTCCCGATGCAGCCTGCTAACCGGAGCGAGCGGTTCAGAACCAGCTCACACAGACCTGCAGAAAATCCTGATCCCAAACCTGGACCAAAACCCAAATTGGGTTTTTAACAGGGATACAACAAATGTTCAGCAGATGACCAAAAAGGCCAATTTACAGGTGGATTGGTTTAATTTTAGCTTTTTCCCCCCCAACCCATGAATGCATCAAAGCTAAACAGCTACTTAGCGCTAGCAATAGCATGTTTTTGAAAAGGAACATTWTACCAAGCGATAAAAACTCAAATTTAAATATTTATGATCCCTAACTCTTTGAAAAGTGAGAGCTTATCAATAAAGCTGAAGAAAGCACTTTTTGCAAACAAGTGAAACAAATGAAAAGGTTGAATAATTTAAACATTTGCTGTGAACACAGTAACAATCTAACAACAGATCAGATGTATTGTTTTCACAAATATAATGTTGGATGTTATCTGGTGCACTTTTATGTCCTGAGAGCCGTATATATTAAACATAAAACATAAAACGGTGCATTAGGAAGAGGAAGGATTTTTTTATTTCAAAACTAGGCATCGATTGACCAAGTGTAACTTACAAATAAATAAATTCTTTCAAGACTAAACCAGAGAAAGTGAACTCCTATGTGTTTGTTGTTTTCACTACAAAACAACATGCAGTATTTTACTTAAACCAGTTTAACATAAGGTTCTCATAGAACTTCTTTTGTTCCTTCACAATAAGAGCCTGAAACACAGACGCTCCGTCACAATAAGAGCTGAAACACAGAGGCTAAGTCTCGACTTCTAAATACACTTTGAATTTTTGGTCTGGTCAATGTTTTACTGAAGAACATTCTTCAGTTTTCTGAGGTTATCGGTGTATGTATTTGAGACTTTTATTGTGAAGGTAAGAAAAGTTGTGCTGCAGTGAGTGATAAACTGCACCTCAGACTGCTTCAGATATTTTTTTTTGACCTAACTTGGTAAAAGTGCACCCGTAACTCTTTAGATACAAATTAATAACATAAATACAGTAAGTGGATAAAAGAAATTTAAAAAGTATTTGTACTTCTACCTCTAACTGGAGTTCAGCTTCTCTGAAGAGGAAMTGAACTCTTCTTTTTCTACAGAGCTCCTGGCTCCAGACGTATGTTTAAGGGTTTATTTCTTTTTAATTAAACTCGTATTTCTGTTGTGGTAGTTGTAAGTTATTGAAGCTAGATGTATAATAACCAGACTTCACCTCTGTTTAATGATTAATCCTTACAGTTGAGCCAAAGTGACTGTTGAGAGTTTGACTACTGTAGTGACTACATGTCCTGTGTTCAAAATAAACCCGGCTTTATATTTATTTATTTAAAACTTTAGCACAGACAAGCTTTCTGCTAACATTTCTGTGCTGAAGCACTTGGATATGTTCAGGTTTGACATGTGAGCACTTTTAGGTTTTTGGCACAAATGTGACTGCATCRGTTCAGTTCAGAGACGTTATGGTTTCTGCTCATTTCTGCTTTTTGAAAAAATWAATTAAAGCCACATTTATTGAGAGTTCAAGCACTTTAAAAAAAGTTTAAAGTACTTTACATCGCTTTAAGCTTTACTGAGCGGAACAGTACGGATGTGTTGTGTTTGTACAGTTATCCATACAGCTACCATGTGAGCTAAAGGAGAGGAGGAGCTGGTTGCAGAGTTGAACTAATATACTGAATTTTTTTTTCTTTTTGATCATAACTGTTTTTATACTGGATATTGACTGAATAAATATATTTTAAATCATTTTCGCTTTAAGTAGTTATTTTGCCTGTATTTATTTTCATTGTTTTGCTTCACTTTTTAACTCTTAAAATGTTTAATTTACAGAATCGTTACATTAAAGTACCTGTGACATGCATGTTGTTCAAATACAAAAAGTCAAAGAAAACAGCTTTGTGTTTAAGGAAGTTGGTATAATACACACAATTTAACCCATTTTGTCGCATAACTGGCATTTTTTCTTTTGAACTTGGCTCAGCCAAAGTAAAACAGGAAGTGACATCAAAGGGGAACTCTAACAAAGAAAACTCTGGTCTTTGTTTATTGAAACAATATTATTTGAACTCAGAGTCTTGTTCATCTCTCTGATAGTGACTCAAAATAATCTTAAGATAATCTAAAGAAACATCAGATTCTTCTCTACAGTCTGTTATCAGCTGTTGTAGCAACGCACATGCAGACATTCCCCTTTGACATCACTTCCTGTTACTTTACAGGCAAATATCTCAACAACTGTTCATCTCAGTGACATGAAATTTATTCTTGCAATATTTTATCAATGYCCTCTTTCTTAAAATGCATTCATATGYATTACAAAAATTTGAMGTCACAGACACTTTAAAGGGAWAGCTCAGATTTTGTCGGGAGCTCTTTGAAGAACCTCAGWTAAAATAAATGGAGTTTGATTCTAACTAGTTCGACGAGCTAACGGCTAAATTAATTTTCTCTCCTGTTAAAACAACTGCACTTAAAACATTTCTGTAGCACGTAAAATGTTTTTTGCACGTCTTTACCTCACCATAAATTTCACGTCACACTGTTTATGTAAAATTCTGTGGCTATTYCCACAAATAAACCAGCTTGGGGCAGAATTAACAAGCGTGAATCACTGAAATTTAAGACTCGAGTGTTTCTAACCTGGGTGAAGTTGACCCCACCAGCTTTTTCAAATCTTACAAAATTGAGCTGTTTTCTCCATTTAGTTAGAGCCATCTACAACAGGTAAGATACTGCCCATTTCTCCAAACCCTACTTCCAAAAAAAGAAAAAAAAGTCTGATGTATATTTGTAAAGAGTTTAATCACAGACTAGGAGTTTGTCCTTGATCACGACTGAAAGAGTCACTCATGAGTAACAGCCTGATAGAAAGCCTGAAACTTGAGAACAAAACTTTCCCTGGATGAACGGAAATAAAATTAAAAAAAACTTGGTGAGAACTGACTCAGACTGTGTCATCTGTTCTGTAAAGGCTTTACAGATTGTCAACGTGTCAGCAAAGCTCTGGACAGATGGACGGAATGAATATGAAATCTGTGAAACGCTTCAGTGCAGCTGCTGCTGAAGTCAGGAATTAATCCAAAATAAGACAAAAACACGGCTGTTTTGTCCTAAAATACACTTTGCTACAAGAAACATCTCAACTTAAAAACATCCGTTTGTAAGAGCTCAGAGAGGGGAAGAAAAGAGGGCCTTMGTAGATGAAACATCAGAACCAAATCCAAAGACTTGAATGATTCAAGATAAGAACAAGACAAAACATTACATTCATAAATCAGTTCTATCTGTTGTGCTTTGAAATGTGTTGAAAACTCTCAGCTACTACCACACCACATCACATATACAGCTCAGTAACTGTAAAACTGACTGAGTTATACTCATTTTTGTCTTTGCTAAGGTTGATTAGCTGTGGCGGCCATCTTGAACTGGGTTTAGATGTACATCCATGCGTTACTGTTTGCAAGTTTTATTCAAATCTGCCCACTGGTTCATGAGATACTATTTCACTAACACTACAGACAAATGCACGAGCTAAAACACTAGCGCCACTGCGGAGGATGATGAGTTAATTTCATCAGCTGAACCTCACTCATACTGAAAAACAGGTTTGATGAAAGTTTGGGTGTACCATCCAGAACTAACTCATCAACTTTTGGTCAAGTCAATTCAAGATGGCCGCCACAGACCTTGAAAAAACACACAAATGGCAACAA